TTTGATAGTACTCATCATTTTTTTTTTTTCACAGGATGACAGTTTGGATGAGAAGCCTCTAAGACTGAAGAGTCGGGAGTCATCTGAGAAAAAGCGCAAAAGGAAATTGGAGAGAGCAGAACAGCTATTGGCTGAAGGTAAACAGAGATCGAAGGACCTGAAAAAGTTAGACAAGACCAAAAAGAAGAAGTTAAAGCTGGGGCATGACAAAGCCAAGGAACTCAGCAAATTGGCCAAGAGGTTGGCCAAACAAGAAGAGCGCAAAAGGAAAAAAGAGAAAGCAGCAGCTGCAAAGGCTGAGTTAAACAAAGAGATTATAGAAAAGAAAAGAGAGAAGAAAGTACTGGACATTCCATCGAAATATGACTGGTCAGGGGCTGAAGATTCTGATGATGAGAATGCAGTGTGTGCTGCACAAAATTGCCAGCGTCCCTGTAAAGACAAGGTAAATGGGTGGGAGATAACATGCTTTTCTATGTCTGTCTAAGGTAGCTTTCAAGATCTGTCTCTCTTTTTATTTTATGATACAATTGCATCCCTTGTCTGAATGCACTGTACGTAATATAGGTGGCCTCTTTGAATTGGATTTGGATTGTTTTATATGTTACCTGCATTTGAAACTTAAAATAGTATTGTTTATATCTCTACCCTTAAAATAATGAACTTATAGTAGCAGTTACTGCCATGCTTTTCTCATAACTTGATAAATACATATTTACAGACTGGGTCATTTGCATGAGTGCTTGTCCTTGAGACAAACGTTAAAGAATTAATTGTGACACACTTGAGTAAAAGCTTTCCCTTCCTGTAACAAGCCACCTATGGTGCTTTGGTCTTGTGGGGAGAAAATCTGCATTTTATAGGATTTTCAACATTGTGGCGTAATCCTCTTTTGTTGAGCTGAATAAGACTAATTCACATGTTGAGCAACAGAGATTTATTATCAAAGCACATGTGGACCTGTCTAGCTATTTTTGTGATTTCTCTAGACTGCAGTAACATTAACACCTTCATCTACTTCACTTAGGAACATGTTGGCAAATCTGAATAACTCAAAGTAAATACATATAATGTATTGTGTTTTATGTTGGGTACTCATTTAGTTAATATACAAACTGATTAAACTGTTCATGCATCAAAACCTATGTTGTTGGCAAGGCTGCTCCACCAAGGCACCTTCCATGAAAATGAGTAAACATGTCATACCCTTTATTTTTATATATACTCCAACACACATCCTGGTTATTCACTAAAGTGAGCTTTCAGAGAGAATTAGAAATTATTTAAATTTATATGGAACTTTTATTCACGAAAAGAACTGTTTTACGGAACAATAAGTTCCCTCTTGTTTCTGTGATCTGTCACACTCCCTTTGGTGTTTTAAATGCTTATCTAAATAAAGATTACTTACCTTGTTTCCAGCACTGTGATACCAATACTGCACCAGCTGGCTTTGGCTCAGTCTTCTTTAGCATGCTTTCTGACTCTTTTGCGTTCTTGTCTAATCCATTGTTCTCATAAATTATACACACAATTATGCACAGGAAAAGGCCATGCTTCTCTAATCAAATGCAGCTATGCGCAGCATTTGATTGATGGACCAAGCTTGACTCTGTCCTGGAGGGGACAGCGCCTCTAGTGGCTGTCAGTGTAACTCTCTAATGTAAACATTGATGTGCGTTTTTGAGGTTTCCCTTTTGCCTCCGTTTTTACTCATTGCAATGTTGATTTTAATTTTTGATCTTTTTTATTTTTCCTCCTCACAGGTTGACTGGGTGCAATGTGATGGCGGCTGTGACGAGTGGTTTCACCAGGTTTGTGTTGGTGTATCGTCCGAAATGGCTGAGAATGAAGACTACATTTGCACGAACTGTAACAGGAAAAAAATACATGGTCCATGCCCTCCTTGCCCACCCACCTTGACTTTCTCCTCTGGCTTCACTTTGCCTCCTATTGATGTAAAGCAAGAAGTCAGCTAGCACTACAGGTTCCCAAAATACAGACTGGATGTTTCATTATTTCCACCCTCTAAGCTACCATCCTATGCCTACTTCTCTACAACGAGATGTATTTGTTTTAGATAACCCCCTCAGCACTGTGCAGTTCCTTGTGGATGGGAGGTGGCCACTATGGAGCGTATGAGTCTCTTTCACTAATCAGCAGATTACTATAGTGCAGAATAGTGAAGAGCTCTAAGAGTTGGGATATATTTGAGGTGATCATTTTACATTCTAAAATTCCATTTTCATTAGTGGAGAATCTGAACATCAGTCTCCACTAAATCTGCCCCTCCTGGTGCGTAAACCCGGTTTCCTAACCTAATTATTGCAGAGTTTTGTTGTCTCGATCCTCTGAGCTCCCATTAGTCATCACCTGTATGATTTGAGCCCACAACCCAGAATGCTGCAACAACTACAGAAACTCTCATTGACGAGGAGCGTTCAACTGCTCACTCAGGTTTAGTTGAAGTTAAATTTTTTGGGGTACTGACTTCAAGACCAAACCTCCACCCATTGAGCCGCTCCATATCTGAGAAGGAATTACATAAAACACCTACAAAGAAAGACTTTGTGTGCACTCCATAGCATACAGGAAAGGGTTACGTCTTCCTGGCATGTAATCGTTTTGTTGCATCTGGACAAAGTGTGTCTTGTTTCATCGTGGGACAGATACAGGAATATCAGCCTCTGGTCTTGGCAGAAGTGGAGTTATAGTTAGTGAGCACTGGCAAAGATGTTATGAAACCACTGCATTAGCAGTGGTGGCACTTAGGCCATTGAAGAAGTGTGGTTTGGAAAGAATGCAGTGTTCAGGGTTGGGGTAGATATGGGGAGGTTAGTCTGTGTGGGTGGTGTGTTACTTGGGTTCAGGAAATCCTAGGAAGAAAGGAATATAAAACCAGAAGAAATTTTTTTTTTCTTTTTTTTTTTCTTCTTCCTGTGACTACTGACTGTTGTATAAATAGATTATTCTCCCATTCTTTTCACTGTTTGTTTGTAAATGGTTACAGGGCTTTCTAATGCCAATGATGGGTCCCGTTTTCATTCTTGTATTTACTTATAAAAGCCTGGCACTTGGTCATGTTAATCTGAAACTCAAGGATCCAAATGAATGAAACGGTATCTGGCAACAGCCACCCATAAAGTTTCTTCTCCTCTCCCCCCCTCCCCCTCCCCCCCAAACAATGAATACAAGTAGTTCATCAGAAATAGAAGTATACAATGTTCTTTTTTTTTTTTTTATAAAGCTGTTTTGGGTTAAATATTCCATGTGTAAAAAAAAAAGGTTTCTTTCATTCTTTTATCACCTGATTGAAGATGTCCTGGTATAATTGACACTCTCTTCTCCATTGTGAATGTTATTTATTGGTGGGGAAGTAAGACTGATGCTATTATGTTGGATGGGGCAAAATCATTCTAATGAAGACCTTTTTGGTACTGAAAGAGAGAGGATATGTAAAAAATAAATAAAAGAAAAAGAGGGGTAGGTTGGAGCAGGAGACAAAAGAAGCGGTGAAGCAAGACATTGACATACAAGGTTTACAGTAAATATTATTTATCATTTTGTTTCCAAAAACTGGAGGAAGAGAAAAATGTTTTTTCCATTGCCATTATACTCGCTGGAGCATATTTTCGAAAACCTCTGGTCTCAAATGTTGATAGAAAAGTGTTTTGTAAGATTTTCTTTAAAGCAGAGAATTATTTAAAGGTTTTTAAGAACAGAGGGGCATTTTAATTGACTACTCTAATTTCTGTATTATAAATTGTGATGCCACTCTTAATAACCGTAAAAGGAATCTGACTGCTGTGTGAGATTACTCAGGAGAGGGCAAATATGGTGGTTTGAATGAAATTATTCATACATATTCAGTGACATGTGCATCTTAATACAGAGTACAACACCGTAAGTGATCTTTTTCACTAAACAGTGTTATGCTGGCAACTGAGTTTTTAGCACAATTTTTTAAACCAACTTTTAGCCTAAGGTAGTAGAATTTGAAAAGTAAAAAAAAAAAAAAGTTGGAAGATTTTTAACTTTTCTGTTTTGGCCAAGGTTTTGCAGGTCCATTGTTAATGCTCCATGTTTAGTAAATGGCTTCAAATTAATTTGTTCCTAAAGTGTTTATTTTAGTTTTTTTATTCACAGTTGAAAACGGCAATAAATCAAAGTGTAGGATTCAGCCTTGACATGAATTATCTCTATCTGGCTTGTGCTTATTTATAGGTATATATTAAACTTTCCAACAAATCATGTGGTTACACTTAACAGATTGTTAAAACAGACTTTATGCAGTTTTTTTTCTTTTTCTTTTCAAACTGTTCGGTTTGTAATATTTTTGGGAATATGTATTAAAGGCATGGGCGTCTGCAGGAATTTTTTTTGGGGGGGAGGGGGGGGCATAATTGTAATGACATCCATGCTTTGTCCTTTTTTGACAGTGTCATGAAAGGGAAGGGGCATAGTCATTATCACATAAAGCCAGGGTGAATAGCATTTTCACAACTATGGTGTCAGGAATACATATTTGTATTCCTGACACTATAGTGTTCCTTTAAACAAATGAAAGGAACATTCTGGTCACCCTAACAACTTCATCTAAGTGAAAATGTTATGATGCCAGGAATCTCCTGGGTGCTCTTTCATTTAAGGGGTTAAACCACTCTCAAATGGTTTAACCCCAAAGGCTTCCTCCAGCTCCAGGTCGCTCAGTGGTATTTGGCTTCTGAAACGGAGTGTCAGGAAGTACAGATTTACGTCAGGCATAGGTGCTGCAGATTGGCTAGAGTGGTCAGTTGACGCTCTAAGCCAATCGCTAGTTCTCGGTTCATAAATTTGTTTACTTTTTTATGAATGGGGAGCTACTGATTGGCTTAGAGTGCCAGTTGCCCGCTCTAGCCAATCAGCGACACCCCTCCCCAGCGGCCCTCTGTGCTTCCTGACACTCAGTAAATAAAAGTGAACACATTAACACTGATATTTGTTTTTACCTGGGGAGATGAGAAGGTCCAAAGTTTCCCTGCCAGGCCCAGGTACCAAAGCCTTATGATGTGGTGTCCAGAATAAAGTGTAGGGTTCACTTCACTTGTCCTTCCTGCTCCAATCTCATTTTCTTTTCCTTAATTTGACACAGTCTTATTTTTCTTCTGACAGTCTTCTCTCCTCCTTTGCTCTTTCTGCTTCTTTTCCTTTCTGCTTATTATTTTGCACCCTTCTGCTCCTTTCTCTTTCTGATCCCTTTCTGCTCCTTCTCCTACTTTTCCTTTGTGCCCCTTCTAATTCTTTCTGCTCATTTACCCTTTGTGCTCATTCTGTCCCTTTCTGCTTCTTGCAGACCCTTCATGCTAATTTCTGCTCCTTTTCCTGCTTTACATTTGTGCTCCTTCTGCCCCTTCCTGCTCATTTCTGTTCCTTCTCCTACTTTACCTTTGTGCTCTTTCTGTCCCTTCCTGCTCTTTGCTGCCCTTTACAGCTCCTTGCTGACCCTTTCTGCTTTCTATTTTACCCTTGTGCTGCTTTACCTTCCAGCTCCTTGCTGACCCTTTGTTTCCGTGCTCCTTGCTGACCCTTTGTTTCCGTGCTCATTTCTGTTCCTTTTGGGCTCCTTCTCCTACCCCTTTCTGCTAATTTCTGTTCTTTCTATTACTTTACCTTCCTGTTCCTTGCTGACCCTTCCTGTCTCCCCCATCCCTCACCTGATCTATAGGCTGTCTCCCCCCATCCTTCACTTACCTGACCTATAGGCTGTCTCCCCCCCCCTTCACTTACCTGACCTATAGGCTGTCTCCCAGCTCTAACTCATCTAGGCTGCTTCAGCTCTACCTGATCTGTATGCTGCACCCCCATATCACCTGATCTATAGGCTGTCTCTCCCCTCATCCCTCACTTACCTCATATATAGGCTCTCTTCCCCATTCCTCACTTACTCATATATAGGCTGCTGCCTCACTTCCTGATCCATAGTCTGCCCCCATGCCTCAATTACCTGTGCTATAGGCTGTCTTCCCCATCCTCCAATTACCTGATCTGTAGGTGGATCCCCATCTCTCACTTACTGGTCTGTATGCCGCCCCCATCTATCTATAGGCGGTCTTCCCCCATCCTCACTTACCTGATCTATGCTTTCTCTCCCCCATATGCCTCACTTCCCTGATGTGTAGGCTTTCTCCCCATATACCTCCTCCCTGATGTGTAGGCTTCCCCATGCCTCACTTACTTGATGTAGGCTGCCCCCCCATGCCTCACTTGATGTGTAGGATGCCTCCCTTACCTGGTCTGTAGGCTCTCTCTCATTTGCCTCACTTACCTGATCTATAGTCTACCACCATCCCTCACTTACCTGATCTGTAGGCTGTCTCTGCAGTAGCTGGCTGCATGTGTTGCTCCCCTGCGGATTCAGTCAGGAGAGAGAAGAAGGGATAAAATGTAGCTTCGTATCCCTGTCTCTCTCTTCATACACAGTATTGCACTGTATTTTCAATCTCACACGAAAAATAGCAGAACAAGCTGAAAACTCCAGGGACGCCCATGCTTAAAGGATTTAACTTGGAATTCAATTGTCTTAAGTGAGTTTGGAGCACATCTAAACTCTATTAGCTGTACCAAACTGTTACGAAGATATCAACTAAAGGAAGAAGTTAGTCTTCGTGGAGGTCAGATGATTGCTGGTATATAGGTTTCATGATGGTATCAGAAGTGGAATGCCTCGGCTTTCAGTGGCAAGCAACATTTAAAGGAACACTCCAGGTACCACAATAGCTTCATCTAAATTACGTTATGGTGCCAGGAAGTCCGTGGAGGCATTCTTACCTCAAGTTGCTGTCAGCTGTCTCCTCCCGTCCCCCTCCCGTCCCCCTCCCCCATATGCTGCATCCACGCATCCGACTGCTGATTGGCTGAGTGAAACATAGCTTTTTCAAGCTAGTTTTATGAATGGAGAGTAACTGTGTGTATTTTTATTTTTTATTTTTATTAAGGATCGACCGATTATCGGTCTGGCTGATATCAACTGATATTCTGAATTTTCAGCAATAATGGTATTGGCCTATAAAAGATACCAATATCGCAGATAATGCAGACCAGGGCCGCCATCAGGGACGACTGAGGCGGTTGTCATGGGCCCGGGGGGCTCGCAGCACGCTCTTACTTCCCTTCTCAGCAGCTCCCTTCAGTTACCCTGTCTAAATCTCGCGAGTCCTGTGACTGTCAGAGCATTGCCGCGGGTTACCATGGCAACGCTTCTCGCGGCACACAGGCCGCTAGAGTTAGAATGGGGGAACTGCTGGGAAGGGAAGTAAGATTGTTTCTGGGCCCCCTATACAGAGTCCATGCCACCGGACCACCAGGGAATGCCATACACCCCCCCGCCCCCTCCCTGGCCAGCTAAGATGCAGGGAGTGGGGGACTACAACTAAATGTTAAAAAATGTAATAAAAAATCCCCCCCCCCTCCTTCCCCAATTTTACACACATTACATATTTACACAAACACACTGCATTCATTATATACACACTACACAAACACATTGCATTCACTATACATACACAAGCACTGCATTCAATACTCAAATACTCTCACTGCATCCACTACACACATACATATATTCTTGAAAACATAAAATTCTGACTGGCATGTATATTTTGTGCATTTACCTTAATAAAAAAAAAAAAATTGCAAAATAAAATAAACAAACATGTTCAGTTAACAGTAGATTTGTATAGAAATAGTTTTTCAAAACAGTAAATGTACCAAGTATTGCCAAGTTACCGGCTATTGGCCTTGAAGGCTCACAGAGTATTGGAATCTGCTCTAAAAAAAAATCTGTCGATCCCTAAATTTAATAAAAAAAAATAAATATATATATATATATATCTCCCCCCCCCACCCCCCAAAGATGGCTAGGGCTGCACTCACCTGAACATGCATCGATTATAGGGTGCTGCTGCGGGCAATATATCAACATATTGGGGGATTAGTTACATTATATGATCATATATTGCATAAGCCTGCCACATCATCAATTTACCTCATTCTGGACTGGTCCTATCCTAGCAGCCTAATGTTTGTTTTTATGAGAATCCACTTACTTGGGAAATTCTTCCTTACTGGGACTCTGCAGGTCACGGCTAAATAGGGCCCTTGAATAAGGCACCTGAGACAGGGAGGGGTGCAAAACCAAGGAGTTGGCCTGGACTCCCAAATGTATAAATAAATTAAACCAAGGATGGCTAGGGCTGCACTCACCTGAACATGCATATATTTATAGGGTGCTGCTAGGACCAATTTATACAACATACAAAATAAACAATCCAGCGCACTCGCTTTTTCACGAAACCGTGATTATAAATCTCATCTCACAGATTGTAATAGTTTTATTTAAATTCACCTCACCTAGGCAAAAAAAATGTGGGTTTAGTTACATTATATGATCATATACTGTAGAAGCCTGCCACAACGTCAATGTACCCCATTCTTGGAAGGTCCTCTCCTAGCAGCCTAATGCCTTATGGCCTGACTGGTGTGTGCAGATCTGTGTTTAACAATATATTGAATATCCACTGACTTCAGACGGAAGGTGTTTCCCCCTTCCCCGCCCCCCCCCCCACCATAACTTTCTGCAAGTAATGCCAAGCTTCAATAGAAAGCCAGTAACCAACCTCATGCTGATGAGTTGCATTAACAACAAAACTGTTGTCCATTATTTGGTTAACCGGCTCTGTATCTATTCCTGAGTTGTTTCAAAACTGTTGTGTTCAGCAAACAAACGCCAAGCAACCCATGGAATAATGAGGCAGAAAGGTGATTCTTTGTAGAACTAATTGGCATATGCTCACCAGGAATCCCTTGCAGTAGTAACAGCACTGCAAACTTGATATTTATGTGGAAAATCAAGTCTTATGGCTTGACTGGTGTGCAGATCTGTGTTTAACAATGTATTTTTTTTATTTCTTACAATGTCTTAAAACACCACAAGTAGAAAGTAATAATTGACTGTAGGATAGCAACCCCACATGAATCGTTTGATAAATTTAATGTTAGATTATTTTGCTTTCTGGCTGCATTATATCACAGATTCAAAGAATGGCTTGCTTTAAAACCTTTGAATGCCTGTCTCATTAATTTAAGAAAATATTATCTTTGCATGCCCAGATTTGTCTATTTATAAAACATTTAATGTAACTAATAGTATGTATTGAAGTTTTTCATGGTTAACTTTGTTGCTTTGCCAGTTTTTTTTTTTTTCTTTCTAGACAATAATAATAGACAAGTTTAAGCATAAAAGATTTATGGCTGTTCTAATAGTTAATATGCAGTCATTTTTAATATGTTCATTAACAGTGGAAAGTGGTCACTAAAACTTAGTATTTCGTTAATTTTTACACCAAAGATTAAATGGACACTCGAGGTACAGATGTTAATGGAACACTCTGGTTATTTATTTTTGAAGCTACTTGTTTGATATACCTCAAAGAAACCACGCATGTACTTTTTTTCTGCAGTTTTTTAGGGGGTTATATGAAGCAAACAGCTTGCAAAAGTTGCAGACCTGCTGTATTTACAAGCCCTCCCCTCTCTCCAGCACAGACTATGTGTTGATGCCACAGAATTGACCAATCAGAAACTTCTAAGTCTCGGTGCTGGAGCCACAAGCGAGCACAGATTTCCAGTGCTTTTTAATTGAGCTGTAGTACAATTTATTTAGGCAGGATCATTCTAGCCCAGGACAAGTGCCACTTCTGTTATCTCTGCAGTGGATACAGAAACATATGGGAACCTCCGTGGTTGACCAAGTGGCAATGGTTGAGATGTTTCAGACGTGTATTTATAAAGTGTAAAATCTGACTCCAGACACACGGAGCATTTCAGGAAGCTGAGGTGCTTTGTGTCTGAACGATTTCTTTAAAAGGACACTATAATCACCCAAACAACTTTGGCATATAATTCAGTAGTGAGACTGCTAAGTCATAGGTTATACACCAAAACTGCTATTTAGCAGTTAAATCACTTTGTTTATGCAGCCCTAGTCATACCTCCCTGCATGTAACTTACACAACCTTCCTAAACACTTCCTGTAATAAGTCCTCTAATATTCACACTTCTATTACTTTAAATTTGGTTTAATTTAGAATCTCTTATCCCTTGCTCTGTTAATAGAGAGAAAGAGAGAGTTTCTGTTTAAATAGCAGGAGATTTTTTTTTGGATAAGTTTTTGAAAATGAAACCATTTTGTTTTCATACAGGCTGTGACCGTCACAGCAAGGGAAGGTGTGGCTTGGACTGCGTAAACAGAAACAAAAGTGATTTGACTCCTAAATTGTAGTAAATTAAACCACTTAGTGACAAGACCGTTTTTCAATCTTTTTCCGTTAAGGACCAGGGCTCCTTTTACATTTCTGTGGTGTTTGTGTTTAGCTGTAATTTTCCTCTTACTCATTTACTGTACCCACACATATTATATACTGTTTTTCTCGCCATCAAACAGTCTTTCTATAGATACCATTATTTTCATCATACTATGTAATTTACTATTTAAAAAAAAAAGAAAAAACCCCACACTTTATTGAACTTTGACCCCCAAAATCTGTTACGCAACAACTGCCAAAAAAACACCCATGCTAAATAGTTTCTAAATTTTGTCCTGAGTTTAGAAATGCCCAATGTTAACATGTTCGTAGCTTGTTTTGGAAAGTTATAGGGCTATAAGTACAAGTAGCACTTTGCTTTTTCCAAACCATTTTTCCCCCCAAAATTAAAGCAAGTTACATTGTAACACTGATATCTGTCAGGAATCCCTGAATAACCCTACACATGTATATATCTTATTAAAGAAAATAACCTAAGGTATTAAACTTGGGGTAGTTTGACTCTTTTCATGCAACCATTTTACCACCAATCTATGCCAAATTTGAACAAAAACAAAAATAGATTTTTTTTTTGACACACATAGCAATTTAATAATACATGTATGGAGAACTTTAAGGGTTACTGACAAAGAACACCCAAATATGTGTTCAGCAACATCTCCTGAGTACAGTGATACCACCAATTTATAGGTGTGTCGGGTTCTCTGGGGTATAAAAAAAAAAAACTTATTTGGAGGGTGCGCATTCCAGATTTCCAACTTGGAATTTTCTCAGCTGGTCATCATGCACCCATGTCCTATTTGGGACATTTTTTAAGCCGGTTAATGTAATTTACCCCCATTAAACCATATATTTCTGAAAAGTAGACACCTTAGGGTATTTCAAATGGTGGTATTTTAACACATTCCATGCACTAACCACACACCAGTCTTTGTCAAACTTTTGGGTAGTCATTTGTTTGTGTTATTTTTTTGCTCACATTCACTTTAGGCATAAATTCTCAGTTCCTGTTATGTGTTACTGACAAAGAAACCACCAATAAGTGTTCAAGGAACACTATAGTCACCTAAATTACTTTAGCTTAATAAAGCAGTTTTTGTGTATAGATCATTCCCCTGCTCAAGTCACTGTCATTTAGGAGTTAAATCACTTTATTTTGTTTATGAAGCCCTAGCCACACCTCCCCTGGCTATGAGTGACAGAGCCTGCATGAAAAAAAAAAAAAAACTGGTTTCACTTTCAAACAGATGTAATTTACCTTAAATAATTGTATCTCAATCTCTAAATTTAACTTTAATCACATACAGGAGGCTCTTGCAGGGTCTAGCAAGCTATTAACATAGCAGGGGATAAGAAAATCTTAATTAAACAGAACTTGCAATAAAGAAAGCCTAAATAGAGGGCTCTCTTTACAGGAAGTGTTTATGGAAGGCTGTGCACGTCACATGCAGGGAGGTGTGACTAGGGTTCATAAACAAAGGGATTTAACTCCTAAATGGCAGAGGATTGAGCAGTGAGGCTGCAGGGGCGTGTTCTATACACCAAAACTGCTTCATTAAGCTAAAGTTGTTCAGGTGACTATAGTGTCCCTTTCAGCAACATCTCCCGAGTACAACAGTGCCCCCAATGTACAGGTTTTATGGGCTTTTGCAAACGTACAGGGGTCAAATGTAGGGTTTTCCCCTTTTCCATGTTTGCACATTGAAATTTGCCAGATTGGTTTGCTGGGCCTATGTTGCCTTTGAGACCATATAAAAGCCCAGGAATGAAAATTAACCCCAACGTGGCATACCATTTGTAAAAGTAGACAACCTACGGTATTCAAAATGGGGTATGTTCAGTCTTTTGTAGTAGCACTTAGTCACAAACTCTGGCCAAAGTAAGCGGTTTTCTTAGTTTGTTTTTTTCACAAAAACTGCACTTTTACTGGTGATTTTATCGTCGGAATGCGTTTTACTGATTTAGAACACTCATATTTGTGTTCAACAAAGTCTCCCGAGTATAACAATACCCCCATGTACAGGTTTTATGGTGTTTTGGAAAGTTACAGGGTCAATATAGGGCTTGCCCGATTTAGTTTGCCAGATTGGTTTGCTGGGCCTGTGTTGCCTTTTGAGACATATGGTAGCCCAGGAATGTGAAATAACCCCATCATGGCATACCATTTTCAAATGTAGACAACCCAGGGTATTGAAAATGGGGTATGTCTAGTCATTTGTAGTAGTCACAAATGCTGGCCAAAGTTAGCGGTTTTATTTGTTTTTATATTAAATAATAATATATATAAAATACAGAATCCAGCGCACTAGCTTATTCACTAAACAATGATTTCAAATCTTAGAGATTGTAATAGTTTTATTTAAAAACACCTCACCTAGGCAAAAAAATAATGGGAGTTTAGTTACATTATATGATCATATATTGCATAAGCCTGCCACACCGTCGATGTACCCCATTCTTGGCAGGTTCTACACTAGCAGCCTAATTCCCAGATGGAATTTTTTCCCTAAGTAAGTGTGTTAATCTCATAAGAGCAAGCATTAGGCTGCTAGTGTAGGACCTGCCAAGAATGGGGAACATTGACGGTGTGGCAGGCTTATGCAATATATGATCATATAATGTAACTAAACCCCCATTACTTTTTTGCCTAGGTGAGGTGTTTTTAAATAAAACTATTACAATCTCTAAGATTTGAAATCATTGTTTAGTGAATAAGCGAGTGCGCTGGATTCTGTATATTTTGGCCCCAGCTGCACCCTATAATATATGCATGTTCAGGTGAGTGCAGCCCTCTTGGTTTTGTGTATGTGTGTGTGTGTGTATATATATATATATATATATTGGCAGAATAGCCAGGCTCTTCACAATAAACTTCAAATGCAACAGTCAGGATAAAATAGTACTGCAGTTTGTCACTTTCCACAATATATACAAGGTTGTGCTCTCCCACAAAAATAAAACAAAAAGAAAATAAATCCTTCTCCAACTTGGAGACTTACTAAACAACAGTATTACTAACAATTCAACTGGCCAGCTAATCTGGTTCCCAGTAAATGAAATACAGCACTTTAACCCCTTAAGGACTGAGCCAAATGTACACGTTGTGAACGAAACAAAATGTAAACAAAACCTGTCATTTGCGCTACATGTCTGTCCAACTGTAATTCACCTCTTTCATATTAAATGCACCCACCCTTATTATATATCATTTTATTCAGGGGAAACAGGGCTTTCATTTAATATCAAATATTTAGCTATGAAACATAATTTAATATGAAAAAAATGGGAGATTTTTTTAAAAAATTTTTTTAGCTCTACATGACATTTTAACTCAATGTCTTAATACTGTTTGCTTTTACTGCAATAAAATACACATATTTGTATTCAGCAAAGTCTCACGTGTAAAACAGTACCCCCTCTGTACAGGTTTTATGGCGTTTTGGGAAGTTACAGGGTCAAATATAGTACGTTACATTTGAAATTGAAATTAGCCAGATTGGTTACATTGCCTTTGGGACTTTATAGTAGCCCAGGAATGAAATTTACACCCACAATGGCATACCATTTGCAATAGTAGACAACCCAAGGTATTGCAAATTGGGTATGTCCAGTCTTTTTTAGTAGCCATTTGGTCACAAACACTGGCCAAAGCTAGCGTTAGTATTTGTTTGTGTGAAAAAGGCAAAAAACGCCAATTTTGGCCAGTGTTTGTGACTAAGTGGCTACTAAAAAAGACTGGACATACCCCGTTTGCAATACCTTGGGTTGTCTACTATTGCAAATGGTATGCCATCATAGGGGTAATTTTAATTCTCGGGCTACCATAGGGTCTCAAAGGCACCGTAACCAATCTGGCGAATTTTAATGTGAAAAAAATGAAACGCAAGCCTTATATTTGACACTGTAACTTTTGAAAACACCATAAAACCTGTACATGAGGGGTACTGTTGTACTCAGGAGACTTCGCTGAACACAAATATTTGTGTTTCAAAACAGTAAAAAGTATGGCAGCAATAATATCGTCCGTGTAAGTGCTGTTTGTGCGTGAAAAATGCAAAAAACGTCACTTTGTGTTCAGCGAAGTCTCCCGAGTAGAACAGTACCCCCCATGTACAGGTTTTATGGTGTCTTGAAAAGTTATAGGGTTAAATATAGTGCTAGCAAATTAAATTCCCTTTACTTTCGGCATGGGTTGTCAGGCAGGTCCCGCTAATTGTAATTAATTAAGATACCCAATTATGTAAAAATATTACATAAATATATATGTAGAATTAATGTGTGTGTGTGTGTATATATATATATATATATATATATATATATATATATATATATATATATATACACACATACGTATGTGAATCTATGTGTGTATATATATATATATAATTTTTTTTAAATATTTTTTTATATATATATATATATATATATATAGTGATATATACGTATATATTTATGTATGTAGATATATATATTATTTCGGTCTATGTGTATTTTGATATAAATATATATATATTAATATCACAATACAGTTAGAACGAAATAACACATCTATATATTTTTTAATATTTTTTTAATTATTTTTTAATGTATTTACATATTTAATTTTCTTATATTATAAATAAATATATATAACAATAATTATATATATAGAACAAGAAAGGGAAAATTAGAGGTGGACTAAGTCCACATCACTAATTCCAAAGAAGGGTTACAGAGATATCAAGGGGCATAACCCCACAAAATAATTTTAAAAAAAGAACAAGACTAGAGTGAAGTGGCTGTTCCACTAGAGATGGAGAAATTTGGACATCCACTTCACCAAATGATGTCTCTAGATTATTACAATAATTGTTAGGTATAACCTTTATTAAGCCGACTAGGCAAAGCAAAAAACGATAAATGATAATAAAGTAGTAGTGAAACACTCGTGAAGAAACACGTGAAGTAAAAAGTGGGTAGATGTGGTTTGGATATCCTCAGTATGTATTGGGGTAATTTGGATAGCCTTACTAAGAACACTAGCAACCAGTACAATATAGTACCGTGTATGTTCAGTCACATATCACATAGTTATTCCCCCTAAAGTCTACAGGGATCTAAAAGTCCCAGCTATATAGAGGTACATCCACAGAGATTCCCATAGACACTAGTATATTTTCACAGCATACACTTTCAGTTTAGATAAATAGTATCCATATAAATTAAACTTATCATACAGATTTATCCAAAGTGTTGCAGGTAAAGACAAAGTCTAGGGAGAAGCTGAGAGACACTGTGTGTATAGTGTGTTACTCAGTATTTAGGTAGTCATTACTAAGCAGAGAGGTCACAGTAGGTAAAGACTTACATAGATCTTAGACAGATAGTTTAAGTAAAATAGTCCTGGAAGTTAATATGCAGATGTCTTTAAGGATGGATAAACTTACATAGTCCCTATATAAATATATAGAGGTGCCCACCCAAGAGAGTGAATCCCTCCCAGGCACAGAAGAGCACTTCAAAATATAGAGGCTAACTGCACTTGCTAGAACCGGCTCGTGTCTATACTACACACTGCTGCTTAAAGACTCCTATAAATGCTGAACACTGCTGCTTCAAGGCAGCCTAACACTAAAGATCACTAGCTGTATATTCTAACTAGGTATATAAAGAGTCCTAGTAGTGACCCAAACTATGGCTTAAAAAAGAAGAAGCGTCGAGCGTTTGCCGGTCTTTTGTTTTTACTAGTGGGGGATGTAAATAGTGATCTAGTCACTTCAGCTGGGGGACATTTAGAGTATCTATTTTTGACTATCTAGCTGGCATTATTCTTTTTTAAGCCATAGTTTGGGTCACTACTAGGACTCTTTATATACCTAGTTAGAATATACAGCTAGTGATCTTTAGTGTTAGGCTGCCTTGAAAGCAGCAGTGTTCAGCATTTATAGGAGTCTTTAAGCAGCAGTGTGTAGTATAGACACGAGCCGGTTCTAGCAAGTGCAGTTAGCCTCTATATTTTGAAGTGCTCTTCTGTGCCTGGGAGGGATTCACTCTGTTGGGTGGGCACCTCTATATATTTATATAGGGACTATGTAAGTTTATCCATCCTTAAAGACATCTGCATATTAACTTCCAGGACTATTTTACTTAAACTATCTGTCTAAGATCTATGTAAGTCTTTACCTACTGTGACCTCTCTGCTTAGTAATGACTACCTAAATACTGAGTAACACACTATACACACAGTGTCTCTCAGCTTCTCCCTAGACTTTGTCTTTACCTGCAACACTTTGGATAAATCTGTATGATAAGTTTAATTTATATGGATACTATTTATCTAAACTGAAAGTGTATGCTGTGAAAATATACTAGTGTCTATGGGAATCTCTGTGGATGTACCTCTATATAGCTGGGACTTTTAGATCCCTGTAGACTTTAGGGGGAATAACTATGTGATATGTGACTGAACATACACGGTACTATATTGTACTGGTTGCTAGTGTTCTTAGTAAGGCTATCCAAATTACCCCAATACATACTGAGGATATCCAAACCACATCTACCCACTTTTTACTTCACGTGTTTCTTCACGAGTGTTTCACTACTACTTTATTATCATTTATCGTTTTTTGCTTTGCCTAGTCGGCTTAATAAAGGTTATACCTAACAATTATTGTAATAATCTAGAGATATCATTTGGTGAAGTGGATGTCCAAATTATATATATATATATATTTAATCAGTATCAGTCTACGTGTAATTTGATATTAATATATATATATATATATATATATATATAATCTAAATATATATATACACATATACATACACCGTCTAGGTGTATTTTACTATTAATATATATATATATATATATATATTAATAGTAAAATACACCTAGACGGTGTATGTATATGTGTATATATATATATTTAGAATATATATATATATATATATATATATATATATATATATATATATATATATATATATATATATATATATATATATATTTTTTTTTTACACTTATTCATTTGATTTGATTTTATTTTCAGCCAGCAGGGGGACCACCTGTCATTACAGGCAGCCCCCCTGCTGGCAATGCAGGAGGCAGCTTACCCGGCCATGTGATTGAGGGGTCCTCGCAAGGACCTCAATCTCACATGGCCGGGGGGCACCGGAGGAGGAGGATCTGCCGCGGGGGGCTCCCTGGGAGTCCCCCCCCACCGCAATCGCCGGCGTGGGACCGCCAGCGACCGGGTAAGTAAGAAAAGACTGGAGGGCGTACAATTACGCCCGGCGGCGTTTAGAGCCGCCTAAAATAGGGCGTAATTGTACGCCATGCGGTCTTAAGGGGTTAAGCAGGTTTCACACAGTACCTTTTTCTCAGAGTCTCAGGCTTAACTGCCTCCTCTCTCCCAGCTGTTAGATGCCCCCATCTTCAGAGGCTAACCTTTTAAAACCTTAGTGCTGGTTAATTACATTCACCTGGTTGATAACATTCAAGGAGTGACTCCCACCAATTAACCTCATCATGCTGGGAATAGAGAGCGCTCCAATCTATTACTAACATAAAAAGCCTCTCTGACCCTGCCACTAATGCACTCACAGGTCTTCAAATCAGTGTAAATGGTGCTTTATTAATGAATAAGATGCATACAGAAATCGATCGATGTTTCGACCCTGCCGGGTCTTTTTCAAGATCATTGGATGCAAAACACAATAATGCTTGCACATGAAAAAAGTGAAGTGTCTCTGCTCATTACCACCCGGAAGTGGCCATGCAACACCATCTGCCTACACTTAAATTTATTGCAATTGATCATGTCCCACCTTTGGTACGTGGTGGTGACAGATCTAAAATTATTTTACAGCGGGAGGCCTATTGGATCCATTTCTTGGACACCATAGCCCTCAAAGGTTTAAATGAGAATATTGTGTATTCTATGTTTTTGTAGATTATTTATTATTTATATAGCGCCATCACATTCCGTAGCGCTGTACATTGGGTGGACTAACAGACGTAATATTTCTGTTATTATTATTATTTCTTTATAGTATTTTTTTCATGGTATTTTATTATGCAATTTCTTATGTTATTTCATTAGTTTTTTTTTATGGATTTTCAGGATAACACGAGATTAGTAGATGTTTTTTTCTTTCTATACATATCCATTTGCAGGACATGGAACGCATAACTCTCTTTTTTCATAATGATATTTTTGTGTGATCTTACTAGTTTCGGTCTTTGAGTATAAGCCTTAGTAATCCTGTAATCTTTTTTTGTCCAGTCTTTCATGTCTAGTCATTTTAGCACCAGTACGGGTCTATCTATCCTTATAAATGGTTGTACTATAATAGATGCCTGTGTACAAGTCACTCATGCGCTTTTTGCATACCTGGATTTCTTTGGTAATTTTTGTGTATAAGCCTTAGCAATACAGCAACCCTTTTTTGTCCTGCCGCTTTAGCAATAGTATGAGTTTATTTATCTTTATAAATAGTTGCATTATAATAGATAGCTGTGTATATGTCATTCATGTGCTTTCTGCATACTTGGATTACTTGAGTTAGTTTTGGGTGTTTCCCCTATAACGCTTTTGTATAAGGTTCAGTAATCTGGCAATTATTTTTGTTTGTTAACGTTAGTATGAGTTTGCTTATTTTTGTCAACCTACATGTTTTGTAAATAGCTGTATTATAGTTAGAACTGTGTATATGTTATTCATGTGCTTATTTGTAAACCCAGATTACACGGGCGATAGAGTATGTATTCAGCTGTCTTCCTTGTTCTTTATACATCTGCATATTTTATCTTTAACTTTATTTATGGAAAGAACTAGGTACATGGTAGTCATATGCTGCACACCCATAGTATTTGAGCATTACAGTGAGTGGTTTTCCTTATAATTGTAGCCCATTTCATGTTCTGATGTGCTATAGTATGTTATGTTCTATATTGAGTAGACATCACAATTTCTTTTCACTTCGCACACGCTTCACTGTTTTGATCACTTTACTTAGTAGTAGTTTTTCTTTCACATTTACTGCACTTCTGTCTACTCTATTTAGGTATCAATATGTATACTTATCATGTACTATTTGTTATGATATTTCTCTTACCGTTACATAGTTGCCTCTCCTCCTATACTGTCACTCTACACCCTAAAAACACTCCGCTGTGTGTCTAGATTGTCTGACGTCACTCGCGACTTCCTTTCACTTCCGGGTGGTAACGGCAGAGACACTTCACTTTTTTCATTGGTAAGTGCACTATTTCATATAAAAGCATTATTGTGTTTTGCATCCAGTGATCTTGAAAAAGACCCGGTAGGGTCGAAACGTCGATCGATTTCTTTATGCATCTTATTCATTAATAAAGCACCATTTACACTGATTTGAAGACCTATTTGTCACGGGCATCCTGAACGACTTTTTTGTCGGACGTACCTAGTTCGTCCTCGGTCGTTAAGGGGAAATTATACATAGATATATAATTTAGTTCTAAGTGTATTTTGATATAAATATATTTATATATAAATATCAAAACACAGTGAGTAAAATTATATAATTTTTTTTAATTCAAAAAAATATATATTTTTATAGTTTATTTTTAATTATTTATTTGTTATATATAGTTATTATATATATACACCGTATATACTCGAGTATAAGCCGAGTTTTTTGGCACATTTTTTGTGCTGAAAAAGCCCCACTCGGCTTATACTCTACTCGAGTGACTGTCTGTATTATGGCAATTTACAGGCCATAATACAGACCAGGACCGCCCGGCTCATTACAAGCCCGGCGGTCCTGTTGGGGGCCGGAGCAGGTTGTTACCTTTACAGCCGCTCCGTGCAGCTTCCATGTTCGGCTCCCAGTGTAAATCTTGCGAGACCTGCGGCCGTCAGTGTTGCCACGGGTTACCGTGGCAATGCTCCACGCAGCACGCTGACCGAGAGACTTACACTGTGAGCTGAACAGGGGAGCTGCACGGAGCTGCACGGAGTGGCTGTAAAGGTAAGTAACAGCTCGGCCCTCCCACTGCACAGCCCATCCACTGGACCACCAGGGAATATTACAGCCCACCTCCCTAGCCAGGTAACAAGCAGGGAGGGGGATCTAAAAAAAAAAAATTAAACAATTATTAAAATAATTTAAATAATAATATAAAAAAATATTAAAATAATTATATTAAAATAATATTAAATGTTTTTTTAAATAATAAAAATGCCTTCCCCCACCCAGTTTACACAAACACACACTCTGCATTCACACAAACACACACTCTGCATTATATACACACAGAGTGTGTGTGTATGTAATGCAGAGTGTGTGCGTATATAATGCACACACTCTGCATTATATATATATATATATATATATACACACACACACACTCTGCATTATATACACACTGCATTCACACAAACACACATTCTGTATTCATTATATACACACACACACTCTGCATTCATTATATACACACACTACACACAAATACACACTGCATTCATTATATATATATACACACACACACTACACAAACACACACTACATGCATTATATACACACACTACACAAACACACACACACACACACTGCATTCATTATATACACACAAATACACACTGCTTTCATTATATATACACACACACACTGCATTCATTATATACACACACACTACACAAACAAACACACACACACTGCATTCATTATATACACACACTGTAAATAAATATTCAATTAGGCACCCAGACTACTTCAGCTTAATGAAGTGGTCTGGGTGCCAGGTCCAGCTAGGGTTAAGAGTATGTTTTCCTGGCACTGTAATGGTCCTTTAATGTAATTTTATTGGGATCTAATTTTATTTAGAAATTTACCAGTAGCTGCTGCATTTCCCACCCTAGGCTTATACTCAAGTCAATAAGTTTTCCCAGTTTTTTTTGTGCTAAAATTAGGGACCTCGGCTTATATTCGGGTCGACTTATACTCGAGTATATACGGTGTGTATATATATACACGTGTTTAATTTTACTCTTAAGTGTATTTTTATATTAATATATGTATATATTAATTAAAAATACTTAGTATGATGTTTTATATATATATATATATATATATATATATAAAATATATACACATTTTCTATATAGAGATTATATATGGATATAATATATGTATAAATATATCTGATATTCATATATATTTTTTACATTTATTACCTTTTTTTTTTTACTTTTTCCACCAGCAGGAGTACTGCCTGTCAGTTCAGACAGTCCCCCTGTTGGCAGCAAAATGGACACCTATGGGGGCCATGTGACTGCTCTTTCAGTCCAGAGAGTCCCACCCAAAGAAGACTGATCTCCGGCGGGGGAACGCCAGCGATTGGCAAGTACATGTGGAGGGAGGCGAGGGGTTCATTTTTTATTAGTTTTTTTAATAAATTTTTTTTTTTTTTTAAACAAACACGGAGTGCCTCGACCACTCAAGGCACTCAGTAAAGGTAAGAGCAGCTGAAGCCTGTGGATGGCATCGAGGCATCGTGTAACACCATAAGAGCGGCTGGAAGCGATCATGATTGCTTCCAGTCAGGGGCGGACTGAGAACCCTCAGGGCCCCCGGGCAAAATAAATCAAGGGCCCCCTTACAGGCCCCACCCATACTCTGCAGCAAGTGCCACCCTTGTCCCGCCTCCATGCACCGCCTCCAGCCACACCCTACACAATCTTTAGACACAAGGAACAAAAGGGCAATAAGCCCTTCGAGGCCCCAGCAGAGACTACAATTGAGGGCTAATGGGCCATGGAGGGGGGTCTTTCTAGCGGAGGCTATCTCAGTGTCCTTTAGAGAGTGTGTTAGAAAGAATCCCCTCAAGGCCCCATTAGAGACTACAATGGAGTCTAATAGGCTTGGAAGGGGGTCTTTCTAACAGAGGCCATCTCAGCGTCCATTAGATATCCCCTGCTGGAAACAGTCGCCTCCAGGCCCCAGTAGAGACTACAATTGAGGGCTAATGGGCCATGGAGGGGATTTCTAGCAGAGGCTATCTCAGTGTCCTTTAGAGAGTGTGTTAGAAAGAATCTCCTCCAGGCCCCATTAGAGACTACAATGGAGTCTAATGGGGCCTGGAGGGTGGTCTCTCCAACACTCTGGTTCCTATTCACAATATAGCAACACAACATAGCTCACTGATACCTAGGCCAAGTTGGCTCCTCTTACCTTAATTACTGTTGCTGGCTGGCAGTCTGTGGGCTTGCTTGCTGCGGCTGGCAGGCTGTGGGCTTGATGGCTACTGCCGGCAGGCTGTGGGCTTGCTGGCTGCGGCTGGCAGGCTGTGGGCTTGATGGCTACTGCCGGCAGGCTGTGGGCTTGATGGCTACTGCCGGCAGGCTGTGGGCTTGCTGACTGCGGCTTGCAGGCTGTGGGCTTGCTGACTGCGACTGGCAGGCTGTGGCTTGCTGGCTGCGACTGGCAGGCTGTGGGCTTGCTGGCTGCGACTGGCAGGCTGTGGGCTTGTAGGCCTGTGGGCTGGCTACTGGCCTGTGGGCTGGCTAACTGGCTGGCTACTGGCCAGCCTGTGGGTTGGCTGGCTGGCTACTGGGGCACTTGTAGATTATTTAAATAAACTAGAAAAGCTACAATTTCTGGGGAAATTGTGTGAAGTGTTCTTGCCTCCACCAGTAGTCTACAACTGGAGTGGGTGGAGTAACTGTTATCATTTATATAGCACATTTAATTGCAATGTTGTTGCACAGTTACATTAAACCATACATTTATAAAAACATTAGCAGGTGTTCAAAAGGCCCTGTCTATGACATCACTTGCTGCTGCAGCCTTGACACAGGTCAGAGTATTTTGGCAGTTGCCATCTTCAAACGGTCGTATTTTAAAAACTATAAATCCTACAGCGAAGAGCTTTATATTGTGAGAATCACAAGACCCAGACCTACATTTTGATGCATAGTATGTCTCTGAAGTATTAAAAATTGAAGGCACAGTCGCAGTTTAGAAATTGCACTTCAAATTTGAGCTTTGCAGAGTGAAGTTTCAATGAATGTCAATGGACGGCGTTAGTTGCAAACAAATGATTATATTGTGAAAACTATCAGGACTATGGCTTAGCCGTTGACATGTTTAGTGGCAGCAGGGATAGCTGAATGTTTTGATATAAGATTTGTGTAGGTGGGCCTGAAAATAAGGGAGTGGTGGCAGTTTAGAAATCATGTCCTGATTTTTCAGCTTTTGCCAGCTCCCACTCTAGCTTTGCCATTCATTCCTATGGGACAAATTGCGCCACAAGAACGACGATATTCTGTGAACCATTCGGCGAAACGTTCCACAAAGTAATAGCAATCCGATCGGGAACAATCTGCACGTTTTGGTAAATTTTTGTCTATGTAGTGTAAAAACTGTGGGAGGAGTTAGGGTGGCAAATTTTGCTATAATAAGAATAAGAATAACTAGAAAAGTTACAATTTCTGGGGAAATTGTGTGAAGTGTTCTTGCCTCCACCATTAGTCTACAACTGGAGTGGGCGGAGTAACTGTTATCATTAACATAGCACATTTAATTGCAACGTTGTTGCACAGTTACATTAACCCCTTAAGGACTGGACTGTTTTTGCGATGTTGTACATTTGCGACCAGGCATATTTTTACACTTTTGTGGTGTTTGTGTTTGGCTGTAATTTTCCGCTTCTCATTTACTGTTCCCATACAAATTATATATTGTTTTTTTCAGGACAAAAGGGGCTTTCTTTACATACCATTATTTATATAATCTCATGTATTTTAATTTAAAAAATACAAAAATCTGATGAAAAATTGAAAAAAATACATGTTTTTTGACTTTTACTTGAAAAATCTTTTACTCATCTACAAAAGCGAATGAAAAAAACTGCTAAATAGATTCAAAATTTTGTCCTGAGTTTAAAAATACCCCGTGTTTACATGCTTTTTTGCTTTTTTTGCATGTTATAGGGCTATAGGTACAAGTAGAATATTGCGGTTTCAAAACATAAATTTGTTAAATTTATCAATAGTGACATTGTAACACTATTATCTGTCATAAATCTCTGAATAACACCCCACATGTACATATTTTTTTTAAAGTAGACAACCCAGGGTATTCAATATGGGGTATGTCCTGTCTTTTTTAGTAGCCACTTAGTCGAAAACACTGGCCAAAGTAAGCATTCATATTTGTTTGTGTGTGAAAAAAGTAAAAAAACGAAATTGAACGCTAATTTTGGCCAGTGTTTGTGACCAAGTGGTTACTAAAAAAGACTGGACATACCCCATTTGAAATACCTTGGGTTGTCTTCTTTTGCAAATGGTATGCCATCATGGGGGTAATTCTCATTCCTGGGCTACCATACGCTCTCAAAGGCAACGTAACCAACCCGGCCATTTTCAATGTAAAAATATTTGACCCATATATTTGACCTTGTAACTTTCAAAAATGCTATAAAACCTGTACATGGGGGGTACTGTTTTACTCGGGAGACATCGCTGAACACAAATATTAGTGTTTAGAAACTGGAAAACGTATCACAACAATTATATCATCAGTAAAAGTGCTGTTTGTGTGTGAAAAATGCAAAAAAAGTCATTTTCACTGACAATATCATCGCTGTGATATGTTTTACTGTTTTGAATCACTAATATTTGTGTTCAGCGAAGTCTCCCGAGTAAAACAGTACCCCCCATGTACAGGTTTTAGGGTGTCGTAGAATGTTACAGGGTAAAATACAGTGCTAGCAAATTAAATTCTCTGGAATTTCGGCCTGGGTTGGCAGGCAGGTCCCTCAAATTGCAATCAATAAAATGACTGAATTATGTAAAAATATTACATAAATACGCACGTAGAATTTAAATATATATGCATATTTATATATTTGAAGTCTACGTGTATATTTATATAATTATTTATGTAATTTTGTATATGGACGTATGTATATTTCTTATTATTTTTATTTATTTTTATATACATATATATATATACAAATTCATTCTAAGTGTATTTTGATATAAATATATATATATTAATTTTAAAATACAGTTAGAATAAAATTTCATATAGCTATATAATTTTTTAATTTTTTTTTATTATTTAAAAATTTTTTAATTTAATTTAAATTACTTATTATTTATATTTTATAATAATATATATACAATATATATAGTTATTATATATATTATATATATACGTGTGTAATTTAATTATAAGTGTATTTTTATATTAATATAAGTACATATTAATATAAAAATACACTTAGTATGGCATTATATAGATGATATACAGACATATATTATATAGATATATTATATGTCTATATATCATATATACACATATATAATTATTATTATTTTTTTTATTAACATTAACTTTATTTTTTTTTCTGATTTTACACTAGCAGGGAGACTGCCTGTCAGCACAGACAGTCCCCCTGCAGGCAGACACATGGACACCTATTGTGACCATGTGATTGCTGTGTTAAGCGATCACATGGCCACAGGGGTCCTAATTCAGTGTGGGAGACTGTCTGGGCTGCAGGCAGTCTCCCCACAACCGGAGCCACGCTGATCGCCGCCGGGGGAACGACGGCGATCAGGTAAGTAGCTCTGACCGTTAGGACGGTTCAGGACCGTCATCGGTCCTCAAGGCAAAAATGCCGATGACGGTCCTGAACCGTCCTCGGTCCTTAAGGGGTTAAACCACAAGACTTATAAAAACATTAGCAGTGGTGTTCAAAAGTTCCTGTCTATGACATCACTTGCTGGCTGCAGCTGGACACAGGTCAGAGTATTTTGGTGGTTGCCATCTTCAAACGGTCGTAATCTTAAAACTATAACCCTACAGTGAAGAGCTTTATATTGTGAGAATCACAAGACCCAGACCCAAGGCTTCTACGCACAGTACGTCCGGAAGTATTAAAATTGAAGGCACAGTCGCAGTTTAGAAATTGCACTTCAAATTTGAGCTTTGCAGAAAGGAAGCTCTAGCCGAATGTCAATGGACGGCGCTATTGCAAACAAATGTATCGCGCTAGAAAACTATCAGGACTACGGCTTAGCCGTTGACATGTTTAGTGGCAGCAGGGATAGCTGAACGTTTTGATATAAGATTTGTGTAGGTGGGCCCGAAAATAAGGGAGTGGTGGCAGTTTAGAAATCATGTCCTGATTTTTCAGCTTTTGCCAGCTCCCACTCTAGCTTTGCCATTCATCCCTATGGGACAAATTTCGTCACAAGAACGACGATATTCCGTGAACCATTCGGCGAAACGTTCCACAAAGTAATAGCAATCCGATCGGGAACAATCTGCACGTTTTGGTAAATTTTGGTCCAGGGGCGGACTGAGAGCCTTTGGGGCCCCCGGGCAAAATTAGATCCCAGGCCCTTTGAAGGCCAAATATATGTGCATTAAATAAATGTTAAATATAACTCATAATACAGCATTCCTTTGGATGTGTATATTGTGAAGACCTGTGTATCAATGCACGTTTGTATTTGAGTCTGTGTGAATGCACTTGTGCATGTCGGGATGACTACATGTGCTTTTTTTGTATATAGTGTCTGTGTGAATGCATATGTGACAGGTGACAGTGTGTGAGGGAGAAGGTGACAGGTGGAAGAGAGTGGGAGGTTGTGACAGGTGGCAGAGTGAGGGGGTACCTGGTGGCAGAGTGAGGGAGGGAGGGGTTGAGTGGTGACAGAGTGAGGGGGAGACACAGTGAGTGGGGGTGACTAGTGACATAGGGAGGGAGAGGGGTGACTAGTGACAGAGTTAGGGAATGGGTGACCAGTGGCAGAGTGAGGGAGGGAAAAGATGACTAGTGGCAGAGTGAGGGAGGGAAGGGGTGACTGGTGACAGAGTGAGGGGATGACTGGTGACAGCGTGAGGGAGTGACTAGTAACAGAGGGAGGGAGTGACTAGTGACAG